ATCTCAGAGAGGTGGCCCAGAAGGATACCATGGTTAATGGTATCAAAAACCACCAAGAGATCCAACAGGACCAACAAGAACACACTCCCCCTGTCCATTTTCCTATATAGGTCATCCACCAAGGCAACCTAAGCTTTCTCCATCCCATAGCCAGGTCTGAAGCCCAATTGAAATGAATCTATTTGGTATCTATTTAGAATCTATTTGAGCTTTATGACTCAGGTCCAGGTTATCTGAAGGACCACATTATCCCATATGAACCTGCTTGTGTATTAAATCTTCTGAGGCAGCCCTTCTCTTTATCCCACCAACCTCACAGATACACCAGAGGGCACATGGGAGAATACCTTCTCCATCACTGCTTCCAGACTGTGGAGCTCTTTTTTCAGAGAGGTTCAGCCGGCATCCTCCTTACTATCTAACTGTACCCAAGCAAAGACACAAGCAAAAATATTTGAGAATTCATTTTGAGAGAAAGCAGGCCTTGTATAATGTGCTGGATTTTTAAAGGTTTATGTTTTAATTTGCTTTCATTTTCATTTTTGATAGTTTAATTACCGTATTTTCCGGTGTATAAGATGACCCACGTATAAGACGACCCCTCCCCATTTTTCCAGTCAAAATACAGAGTTTTAGCACCTCTATCCTCATTATCCTTATATCCGGCATATAAGACGACCCCCCCACTTTAGCCACAGATTTTGCAGGTAAAAAAGTAGTCTTATACGCAGGAAAATAAGGCATTTTATAACTTCCCTCATAGAGAGAAAAAGGTGGGAAATAATAATATTACAGCAAGCAAAGTGTTCTGTTTTGTCAGCGCTGGAAAAAGCTACTGACATACGCCATTACAAAAGCTAACCTTCTGATACTACTTGGTAACATTTAGTATCTGATATAAATCTTGGGGAAGGATCATTTTTGAATATCTATGCTCGCCAAATCATTACATTTTGCACTAGGTATAGGCAATACATAAATATGCCCTTCTAAGCCAGAGAAAGAGGGTTGCTGTTGTTTTTAAAGAACTAAATCTAAATTAAATATATGGTGATTTTAAATTGGTTTAAAACAAATTGTAAACATTTTTAATTTGTTGTAATGGAAACTGCCTTGGGTCCAAGGCAGCATATAAATAAAGTAGATAAAATAAATAAACAAACAAATAAAACAAATAGTAGAAAAAGAGATTCATCTCCAATTGAAAGACCAAGATCACATGCTTTTAAAAACAGCCTAGCTTAGGTAGTTAAAAATACCACAACATTCTTCAGAGAAGATAGAATGTGAAATCTCTACTAATTCAAGGAGCCAATGTATTGTAGTGTTTAAAGTGCTGGACTGTGTCTTGCAAGATCAAGAGCTGTTTCACACTACACAGTTATAAAACCATGATTCCACTTTAGTCAGCAAAGAGCTCTCAAGATTTCACATGATGCAGCCATGCAGCTAAAATAAATCATAGTATTATAATTTTATAGTGTGAAAGAGCCTCCAAGATTCAAGTTCCTACTGAGTCATGAGACTGTATATACCCCAACACTTAGGATGCATTAAAATATGAAATTATGCTCCAGAAACAAATTCCAACACAGCTTCATGTCTGAACAATCAGATTGGCATACAAAGCCATTTCACAATGTTGTTATTAATTGTTGTAACTGTCTTTGTTTTAATTGACTTTTATTATTCTGCTCATTGTTTTACTTAGATTGTACGCCTCTGGCAGGTTTTATTGTTTTATCCTTGATTGTCTTTTGTACAGCGCTGAGTACACTGACAGCGCTCTAGAAATAAACTTTAATAATCATCATCATCATCATCATCATCATCATCATCATCATCATCACAAAACAAAGAAAGCTAACTTGCAGGCTTGTTGTTGTTGCTGTTGTGTGCCTTCAAGTTGTTTCTGACTTATGGCAACCCTAAGACGAAGCTATCATGGGGCTTCCTTAGACAAGATTGTTCAGAGGAAGTTTGCTATTGTCACCCCTTGAGGATGAGAGCAAGTGACTTGCCCAAGGTCACCCAGTAGGTTTCATGGCCAAGCAGGGAATCGAATCCTGGTCTCCAGATTCACAGTCCAACATTCAAGCCACTACACCACACTGACTCACCAACCTGCAGGTGAGATCACATTATCTTTCAGCACTTACAAATCTTTCACTTCTAAGGATGTGCTATTTGTATGATATAGGGCCTTTGCAGACTGCCAGAAATAGTGCAAATTGAGTCCACTTTAACTGCCCTGACTCAGTGCTAGGAATCATGGGAACTGTAGTTTATTGTGGCACCAGAGCTTTCTGACAGAGAAGGCTCAATGTCTCAGAAAAAAATACAGTTCCCATGATTCCCTAGCACTGAGCCAGGGCAGTTAAAGTGGACTCAATTTGCACTATTTCTAACAGTCTGCAAAACAGTCTGATCCTCAGTAAATGATCAGTCACTCAATTTGACCTACCACATAGAATTGTGGCGAGAATATAGGGCCTTTACAGACTTCCAGAAATAGTGCAGCTTGAGGCCACTTTAACTATGTTCTTGGTAGAGCTCTGGTGCCACAATAAACTACAGTTCCCATGATTCCTCAGCACTGAGCCAGGGCAGTTAAAGTAGCCTCAAGCTGCATTATTTCTGGCAGTCTGTAAAGGCCCATAGTGGGGATAAAAAGAGCTACGTATGTTGCCTTAAGTTAGTGATAATAATAGAGCTGTTGTTGTAAAAAGCAAGCATGTGTAAGAATTTTGATGATAATAATAATAATAATAATAATAATAATAATAATAATAATAATAATAATAATAATAATAATTTATTTCTAGCCTGCCCCTCTGTTCGGCAATCGGGGCGGGTTACAGCATAATTAAAAACAGAAAACAGATTAAAACAACCAATCCCTATTTCCTATATTTACCAAAATTCACAACATTCTTTATATTCAAAAAGAACTTGAGTTTCAAAAGAAATGTGAGAAAAAAACCAAAACTATCAGACTTTTCCATCCCTAGACTCAAGGCACCTTTAAGGGTATTTTTTGCTATTAGGCTTATCAGCCACAAGAGGGCCTCCTTACACTAAGAGCAGTTTTGTGAATGTGACTTCAAGTCACTTGACTTATGGCAGCCCCATGAATTTCAAAGGGCTTTCTTACTCAAAGACTACTTAGAGGTGGTTTTGCCAGTCCCTTCCTCTGAAATACTGTATATAGAATTCACTGTTAGAGAACTCCATCAGAAGAAGATGGTACTGTTTATAAAATCTAACACAGATTGTTAAAGATGGTTGATTAAAAAGCATGAGCAAACATTAGAATATCCTGCTGTAAATCCAATGTTGTATTAGTGACAAAACTTTGGGCCTTTGCAGACTGCCAGAAATACTGCAAATTGAGTCCACTTTAAGGGTTAGTGTTAGTGTTTGGGAGTCATGAGAATTGTTGTTTTTTTCCCCTGAGACATTGAGCTTTCTCTGTCAGAGAGCTCTAGTGCCACAATAAAATAAAATTCCCATGATTCCCTAACCCTAACCCTTAAAGTGGACTCAATTTGCACTATTTCTGGCAGTCTGCAAAGGCCCCTTTCCCCTCCACATTTCCCAAAAACTTATTTCAGAGGTTTTCATGGCTGCAGGAGGAGAGAGAAGAGTGAATCACACACATACACACTACCATTTCACTAACATAAGCACTTTGGATCCTGGTCTTTGTCCACTGAACACAAAGGCTATTTAAAATGATGAAATTTGATCACACCAAGACATTACAATGGGACTTCGGACTATGAGACACTTTGTTATGTTGTTGGATCCAATGGGGCTGATCTAGTACAACTCTTTTGTTCTTAAGACTTTACAGGTCAAAAGCTGCACCATAAATGGGGCCCTAAAGATAGTACGAAGTCAGCCCAGAAAATGTTTTTGCTTATCACTTTGCATAAGGATGCCCTTCTGCCCTAGACTTATGGTAATATGTACTGTAATGCTCCAGCTAACGCTTCTGGGTTGAGCTTGGAGCTTGATGAGAAAAGGTTGCCAGCCAGGACCCCTCCCCAGTGTCTATGCCAGGGGTAGGCAGCCTTTTTGAGCCGGGGGCCGGGTTGCTGTCCCTCAGACAATGGGGGGGGGGGGCAAAGCACCATAAATAAATAAATAAATAAATAAAAATATATTTTTTAAAAAAATAAAATTTTAAAAAAAATATGTATGCACACTCTCTCAGCCCCAGAAAAGCCATGGCAAACCCCCTGTGGAGATTTTGCCAAGAAAACCCCAAGAACAAGTAATAACAGCAATAATCAATATCATCATGGCAGGCAGCAGCGGCAGCGGCAGGATCAGCCTGGGGACAGTCCAAAGGCCTCGGAGGGCCACATCCGGCCCCCGGGCCTTCGGTTGCCTACCCCTGGTCTATGCTGTCTAGGGCTAATGGAGGGCCACTTGCCCATTACTGCTCTATAAGTTGCTAGACATGATGTATAGCTGTGCTGCTTAAGCTATTTGATATAGGGGAATGGCATTTTTTTAATGGGCTAAGGTTCAGTACTATATCTGTACCCATTGACTACAACTTTCTTTCTTTCTTTCTTTCTTTCTTTCTTTCTTTCTTTCTTTCTTGCCTGGGAACTTGTCATGCGCTAGCAGCTAATAACTCACAGACCCGCACTGGTCCATGGATCCCCCCTTTGAGTAACACAGAATTAGAGGATCAGGCTTATGTCTCTTTAACAGTTGTGTGAAAGAAGAGATTTAAAAGAAGACCACTTCTTTTAAACTGGCAACTTTACATTTCTCTTTACTTCTTCTGTCCCATATCTAATTTATAGTCCCTGAGTGACACAATTCCAAAATGTTCACAGGATGCAGGCTCCAAAAATGTAAAGGACATGTTGTAGGCAACAGACGAGAGCACTGTGGTGGCCAAGGTTTTCTTCCCTCTAAGCAGGGCTCCTACTCTTCAGATGTATTTTGAAGAAAAGAAGTTCCCTGACTAGAAAATCAACAGGTGCACATTTGCTCAGCCGATGTATATAATAATGGAGATGCTTCACCTGTTGAATATCTTGTTTTGCAGCTTTTTATTACCCTTTCTGTATTCTGTCCCTTCACTCACAGCTACTGCCTTCCATTGCAGTTCTGCATCCACCTTTTGTATGTTTTTATGTTAATTTTATCTTGTGTTAAATAATTGGGTTTTTTTTTTTTACTGTGATGTTTTTGAGATGTTTTTATCTTGTAAGCCAGCTTGGGTCCCTTCCTGGGAGAAAGGCAGCACAGAAATGAAATAAATAAAATAATAAATAATAATCCATAGATTATTGGATTATTGGTACAGAAGAGAACACTCAGAAGCTGTCTTTGAAAGGAAGAAAGGGGAATATACAATTGTGACCCTTTTCTTTCATTGTCTTCCTAGGACATACGGACATTGTTGCTTGTTGTGTGGTTTCATTTTGAACTTATGGCAACCCAAAGGCAATCTTTCATGGGATTTTCTTTGGAAGATTTGATCAAAGAGGTTTGCCATTGCTTTCCCCTGAAAATGAGAGGGAGTGTGACTAGCTCAGGGTCACCTAAGTTAGTTTCCATGGCTGATCATGGATTCGCACCCTGTGCTCCTGGAGTCCTAACCCAACACTCAAACCATTACACCACTCTGGCTCTCTCACATGGAAGTACCAGATATTTAAAATATTCAGTAATATAAGCACAGGAACTTAAGTTTGAACCTTTGTAACCTGTGCCTCTTGTGTTGCAAAGTTTGAAAGAGGCATGTTCCAATAATAATAATAATAATAATAATAATAATAATAATAACAACAACAACAACAACAACAACAAGCTATTAAAAAACAGGAAAGCCAGCATGATGTAATGGCTGCCCTGTGACTGGAGACCAGGGTTCAAATCCCTTCAGCCATGGAAACTCACTGGGTGACCTTGGGCAAGCCACACAGTCTCAGCCTCTGAGGAAGGCAAAAGAGAAACCCAAGAAAACCCTGCAATAGGTTTGCTCTGGGGTTGACTGGGCAGTGAAGAAAGCCAGTATAAAGAAAATCAGCTCATTTGAGATGTGGTGCTGGAGAAGAGGGCTGAGGATCCCATGGACGGCCAAGAAGACAAACAAATGGGTTCTAGAACAGATAAAGCCTGAACTCTCTCTGGAAGCCAAGGTGACTCAATTGAGGCTGTCATATTTAGGCCATAGGACGTTATCACACGTGGGCCAAAAAGTGAAAATAAAGTGGAAA